TGGTCCCTATGAGAATTCGTCCTGAAGTCCCATCACTGCTAAGTCAAATGGCTACCCCCGACCTTCCTGGGAATTCTGGCTGACGGAATCCAAGTTTTACACTTTGGCAACCTGGTTTGTATAGTCCAAAGTCAATTTCGACCAAAAGTATCCCGACCTTCCCATCTGTCATCCGAATGTAGCTTTGGTCCCTATGAGACCTCGCCCTGGAGTCCCATTACTGCTAAGTTAAATGGCTACCCCCGACCTTCCTGGCAATTCTGCCCGATGGAATCCAAGTTTTCCACTTTGGAAACCTGGATTGTATTTTCTAAAGTCAATTTCGACCAAAAGTATCCCGACCTTCCCATCGGTCAGCCGGATGTAGCCTTGGTCCCTATGAGACCTCTTATAAGGCGAAACAATGTCAGAATTAAGATTATAGCCCCTCATTTTGAGCTTGCTGAGTCAGAGACTTTTTCTCTGATTCGCCTCAGGCTCGAATCAAGGACTTCTTCCTTGATTCACTCCCTATACTGCGATGATTGTATAATAAAAGTATGCTTTCCGGTTGAACTGCGTTCGAATTAAGCGTGCGAAAGAAGATGTCGATCATCCACCGTGGGATACTCCATTATTTCAGACTCAAGAAAGAAGACAGCCGCCGCGGGATTATTCTTAAGTGCGATACTGATCACTGCGTCTAAAATAAGGTTTAGAATAGGAACGGGAGGTGGGTGGAATTGAATTTCCACCCACCTCCCAGGGTCTCATTCGCAGTAACCTCCACGTGGTGGACCTGGAAACTAGAACCGTCGCCGTCAGGGTAGTCCCAGTCGTGGATGGTGCTAGGCCAATGGCTGCGAATTGTGTTAAATATGCCGAGTAGTTATTCTTTAGCTTCTTTCTCTGATTCCGCCTGTGTCTCCATTTATCCGGTTCACTTGATACTTTTTAATACGCGCACTATTCCATTACATAAGTAAAATAAACGGAAAAGGTCAAAGCCGAAATATACGCTTTACAGATTAGCGATTAAAATTGTCACAAAAAGTAATTTTCAAAATTCCTATGGGACGCCAGCTCTGGCTTTTCCAGATATAAAAAAAAGGTTGTTCGAAAAAGGGAAAGAACTTCGCCGATTATATGATGAAACTGTATTATGTACATGTTTAATATTCATATTGTATTATACTTTAAAATAACGAATTCTGTTGAGTATTTTGACAAATGTTTATAAGAAACTACGAGTGTGTAGAAAAATGTAATACGAGACACCAAATTTTATATTTATTTGTATTCTAATTTATTAATCTGTATTTATCAGCATATGATTGTTTAGTTTGTGAGTTACCTACAAATGGAAAAGAGCTTTCACATGAAGAAGCATATCGTACCATCTGTCGTGAGCAATGGCTACAAACATTTCATGTAGCTTGAGCGTTTCACCACTGATGACGCCACTAGCTCAAAACTACGATCATATGAGTTAACAATTTATTCCCATTAAATTAAATGTAAAAAAGTCTGAGGCTTGCATCAACATTTAATTCAATTATGGTTTAATATATCATTTCATTCTTTCAATCAGGAACATTAGGGAAACACGGGAGCGCCACATCTATATCCCATAGTTATGTTATAAACAACTATAGTATTTATTATTAAAATAAGTAGGTGCACTTAAATTAAATTCTATATAGCAAATGATCGAAGTACAGGTTAAATGCAGGATACAGAAATAAAAGGTTTAACTCGATGGCAATAATCATTCGCAGGGCGATAGTGAATGATGACATACGATTTATTGTACAGTAACAATTGTTCATTTATATACACATCTACGAGTTCAGCGCTGGACTCTCCACCCCCTATGTTTGGTCCGCTTCTATGCGAAGAGCAGTCTGACTACACGGAATCACAAGAATCCACATCGTTCCGCAAACTTCCCGCGCGCGAGCACTCACCCCCCTTACACCCCTAGAAACTAATCTATTGCGACAGCGGTACAAGAGTCTGTACAATATTTACACGCGGATCTTTGGCGCCCGATAACGCTCGGTTCCCGCCGGAATCGATCGTTTTATTACACGAGTAGAGATAAAATATTGTCTCCTTAGACCTAAGTTTAGTACACAGTTCTGGAAACCGTTCCGTGGACTCCTCTCCGAGCGAAAATTACAATTCAAGCGTTGCGCCACGGTTCGGACACGAAACACCGTTTCCCACAAACCGTACACACCTACAAAAATATACAGCTTTCTTTCAAGAAAAATACGAAGCACCGCAATCGATCAGTTTTCGATTTTCCGTATTGCTATCCCCCTTTACCGTCTTCCATTCGCTCGGAGGATTCTCGAGAAACGAAAAACTGGTCGAGGATGGTGTCCTTATAGTATCTTACAGTACAGGCAACCCTCTTGTAACACACAGCTTCCAAAAATTTCTTGTGTGAAATCGTGTTAAACGAGCCTCGTCGCTCTTCCTGTCATTCTGTGGTAATTCAGCTTGAACCCTTTGCCTCGGAAGTTTTTCACTAGAAATATTTGAACATTTTCTGATGAGGCACAGACGATATTTTCAATCTAACTCGACGAGAAATCATATACATTGAGGAGTAAAGCTATTTTATTTCAATATTTCCCAAATTGATGCTTTATACGGGGTATAATATTAAATATCAAATTTTATAGTTTTACTGTCCTTCCATCATTATTCTAATGTAGTTTAATTTCAACCCTCCGCCTCGGAAGTTTTTCACTAGAAACATCTGAACATTTCCTGATGAGATAAAGACACTTTGTGAAACTATCGACGAGAAATCACATACATCGAGGAACAAAGCTATTCATTTCAATATTCCTCAAAATGATGCATTAAACGACGTATATCAAATTTTATAGTTTTCCATGAAATCAAGGTGAGTCTCGAGTGCAAAGGGTTAAAATTTACTAAACAAAAATCATGTTACCTAGTGCTGCGGTACAGTGTTATAGAAAGGTTTCCGTAATTTTCTCACCGAGCTGCGAAACCGTGTAAGTTGCAGCGTTAAACGATGTTTCAATTTATCTCGTCGTGTCGTAGAAGGGCTACCTGTATTCAGTTACACGGTAAACAAGTCGTACAACAAATAAAGATGTATTATAATGTCCAACGAGAAGCAAAACCCAGAGTGAATCTGATTCACCGGAATATCGAGCCGATATTCGAAACTCCGGCAGAAGAACACCGAAACGATGCGAATGGCAACGAGAAGCTTGGACGCTTCCACGAAATGGCTTCTAGCTCGCGAGGTCTTCTCGGAACTAACTGTCCGCCAGTAACACGGTCAAGTCGGACGTCTGAATCCTGGTCTCCGACGATTCTCCAGGCGTGTCCGGCGTGTCCGGCGCGACCAGCGGCTCGGTTTGATAGCTGTCGCCCCTGCGGCAAGGGTTGACGATCGTCTTCGACGTGGTGCAGAGTTTCTCGACCTGCCCGCTCCTCTTCCACGCGGTGTTCCTGGCCGATTCGCCGTTGTTCGGTTTCCTCCGGCTCGGCGAGGAGCCGTTGCTCGGGTTCCAGAGGAACAGCAGGTAAATCCGCCTCCAGCCGTCGAATGCGTTCATCGAGTCAGGTTTTCCTCCTCTTTGCTCCTCTTTGACGTTGCACTTAGCTCCCTCGCTGGTGTTTCTATACAGTTGCTCGACCTCGTTCGAGGAACGCTCCTCGGAATTAGCAAGAGCAGCGTTGCTGCCCAGGAACCGGGAGACCCAGCCGAAGAACCCGTTCGCTTCCGAGGACGCGTCCTTCTTTCGGATCGGCGACGCGATACTCTTCATCGTCTCCACGATCCTCTTCTTTAGCCGCGAGATGCCCATCGAGTGGATCTTCCGCACGGACGAGCAGTCTTTCGCTGGATCGTCGCCGGTGTTTGCGGGCTGGCCAGCTGATTTTGGACGGCTGTCCGTCGTGGACAGAATCTTGACGCGCGTGTTGCGCCGTTTGTTCAGGAAACGTATCACGAACACCTGAAACGAAACGAATAGTGAGGGAATTGCTTTCTAATCTCGTGTTCGTCGGTTTTTGGAAAGGCTTCGTGTTGTCGGTCTTCCGTGTTTTATCCTTGTAATTTTGCGGTTGTGTTTTTGAGGTTGATCTTAACCGTTTGAGTGCTTGAGCGCTATAGTGCTCTTGTGTTGTGATAAAATTGCGGAGAGCGTGGAGGCAGTTCTGTTTGTCAGTATCAATTATAATTCTCTTACTATGGTTTTCGAAAAATAAATCAAAGTAAATTTATTTGAATGAATGTTATTTTTTGATATTTCTCTGTAATAACACAATATTTGTGATCTCATTAGATAGCTAATTTTATTCATTTTTTTGCATGCACACCCAATCACTTCCGCATTTTTGGTAAATATCCACAAAAGTTGTTTAGCATCCAAACGGTTAATGATAGATAGTATTTTGCATGTACTTTACTAAACTCGTGTTCTTTATTTAACACGTTCACTGCCATGAGAAACTTTGGTGTTTCATGTATAACTTATTCCTTTAAATAAAAGGGAATTATCAATTATTTGGTAACAATTATCAGGTTACGATCCAGTTATTCATATTATTAAACATTTTCATTCGACGCCAGTTATCTTACGACAATTGTTCTCAAATAATTTGGAAGCTCCAGTCATCGGTGACTACTGTTGCAGTCAACGTGTTAATTGTTCTCTTGTCAATGTTTCAGAATCAAATTTCGCGAGTGAACACTAGGGTTCTGCTTTTAACAATCATTCGTCTATTAACACTAGAACTACCGTTTAGTTTCTTTGTTTTGCGATTATTGATATCTTCAAAGCATTGAACATTCAAAACGATTTTGAAAATTCAACTTGAATATTATAATGAATGTCTGAAGAAACGGAGAATAATCTATTGTTACAATGTTTATATAATAACAATATGATATGTAAGGTAAAATCACCAGTTGACCAATTAAGAAATTTTCTGTGTGAATATTAATAAACGCTTGCCTCTTTATTAAACAAAGAGACTCTACGTGTGTAGAGTGCAGTATTCCATACTGCATTTCCAAAAGTTTTTTTAGACTCTTAAATTTTGGGCCCTACAAACAAAAACATTTTAATCATTCCTTTTATTCTCATAGGTGACTGAGAGTCACGTGGTATGATTCGTTATAAAAACACGTGGTACGATTATGGTTAAACGAAACTACAAATACACCTGTGCTTGTTCTCATCAAAGCCTTCCATACCCACACTATTTTCCACTATTATAAAAGAATAAATCTTACTATAACGTATCAGTAACTAATACTGAATTTATGTTTAAAAAAAATGAATAATACTTAGATTTTCCAAATTCAGTTTAAAATTCTCGTCACCAGTCTGACACGATGTAAGTCAAAGGGTTAAGGAGGATTTATTTAACACTATTTCTACCGAAGCTGTCAAAAGACACCTTTCGAAATTTTATCTTAAAATTATTTTCTAGGTTTAGTTGTATATTCTGAATTGACTTTTCGACTTTTGCAATAACGATTATAAAACTAACCCTTTGGACTCGAGAGATTCTCAATTGTAGTATGCGATAAATAATGCGTAGTATGCGTTCTAATAAGATGTAGACGAGATACTTCGAAATGAATTTAGCTTTAGTTCCCTAATTCATAAGTGATTGTTAAGGCCACTTACAGCCTTAACGTTTCCTCCGACCCCTTAGAACCATCGTACTTTTTAGTTTGTATACACTTTTTATGTTTTCTAAGGCTTATTGTGCATTTGGTAGTTTTTTCGGAATAATAGGAGCCTTCGTCCCGTTCACAACTTGCAATCGTCCTTACGGTATTACGAGAAGGGACCGTGGCAGCCATAAATCCCTGAACCCATAAGGCCCGCGATTATTGCTGTAGATTTTCTTTGCCTATTGTTTACATCTGGTGTCCAGTCACCAGTATTTTTAACTCTCTTGCCCGTCCGTTAGCATGTGTTACTAAGGCCAAGCGTTTCTTGCTTTTTACCTGCCACGGTCGGCGATTGCAAACGGGACGAATTAGTTATTAACTTTAACAACTAGGAAGACCAGAAGGGAAGGGACTGTGTCTCCCTTCCACAACCATTTTAGATCGAAAAGGGCCAACCAGAACGTCTTCACCCCCGTGAAGACGACATTGCTGAGGTGTCGTCGAAGACGATTCTGGGAGGCCCAGGGAGTCGAGAATCATAGTTGGAAACAAATAGTCAAACAAGCAAATAGAGAGCATCGAACATATTTCGAGTCACTACACTGATTTTCACAAGTAAATACAGTCCACTTCACAAACCTAAAAATTCGCACAAAGTTAATTCGGCGTGCGACGTACTAGTTTAACTACCGAACATAGTCGGTGGAAAACAAGGTACACGACAGTGATTTCTTAATAATTTCATTTCTTAATAAATTCATTTCAAGAAAATAGCTTTAGTTCCCTAATTCATATGTGATTTCTTAATAAATTCATTTCGAGAAAATAGCTTTAGTTGCCTAATTCGTATGTGATTTCTTAATATTTTCTTTCAATATCTCACGTATCGATGCAGCATACGGAGGGTAATGGTAAATACCAAAGTTTATACTGTTGCTCTATCAAATCATCTGGGAGTTGCCTTTCGAGTGCAAAGGGTTAACTATAAGAAATGTCCAAAATTCAATTGAGATATTATTACACTGAGAAAACGATTATCAGCTAAAATTTCTAAAAGTGTCTTTAGACACTTTCGGTAGAAATAGTGTTACAGGAATAAATCTTGCTATAACGAAACGCTCGAAATTCTCGTGGCAGTGAACGTGTTGAAGTCGAAATAAAATCAACTCGGTCTCCTTCCTCTATTCATATATTATTTCCCGACGTTCCCGTCTTCCCGCGAGATCAACCGCGGAAGAAAAGGCTTTATCATTACATCGGCCCGACAGCGAGCTCTCGCGGGATACGGTTTATAATATAATTCGTCGCAGGCTCGTGTTACTGTCGCCGCTCTAATCCTATCTCCGGATGAATTTCCGGCTGCTTTGGCGGCGTCGCGGGTCGGAAGTTAGCCAAGTTGCGTGGAATCGAATTTACAATATATTTCCCGCGACACCTTCCTGCGTTTAATTGCCGTTCGGTTAACGTCCCTGCGGTTTGTCGGACATATTTAAGCCTCTGACATTATCCCGTCGATAATCGTTGAATTATCGACACCAGGACACGCCCTCGGTGCTGCTCCCGCGGTTCAAAAATTATTTTATCGATCAGATTCAGACATTTAACACGTCCCGTGCCAGACCGGTTTTTGAAGACCTTCCGCTCAGGCTGCGTGGGGCGTATTTGTTTCTGGACTATGCCTTACAATGATTAAGATAATGCAAAAATCATAACTATCAAGGAAAGGGTGTATAGTTGAAGATTCATAACACCACAAAGCAATAAATTAATTTTTTTTAGGAATTAGTTTAACAAATATCTGGTTGAACATTACTCTACCGAGCGAGTCGCATCCTCGCACATAATATTCTTTTATGATGTCTATATTAGTTTAAAATAAAACATTTTAGTTGAAATATATTTAATATTATATTTATGTGACAAGTTTGCATATAATCAGGAAGGGATGTTACGGTGAACTTTGTTAAAACATGGCAATCATAAATGTGGTTTATCCGCACAACTATCACAGAATGTTGCAACTTTTACAGTACAGTTTCTTGCCGATTGGGAACCGAATTTTTTAACGTTAAAACAAATCGCAGTAAAAAAAATGACTACTACGCCGCGTGGGGCGTATACACGATCAAATAAACGTCGCGGCAATAGTATTAAGATGCCCATAATTGACTGCATAATACATTTTTAATAAATTCTTCATTTTACAATGACAATACCCAATGGCTTGAACGGAAAGTTCAGAGTGGGGCGATGATTTTGATGATGATTTTGTAATCTACCAACAACTCCAAGCCATATTTATAGTATCCCTAGCACAAATGAAAAATGTTTTGTATATTTGAGATCTTAATAAATTCAGTTCTTGTAGCTTTTATAAAGAAATTTTAAAAATATGGTTCAAGTGATCTGTAGTTCTAATGTCAACCCTTTGTACTCGAGAGGTGACTCACCACCTGATTCCACACAGTAAAACTATAAAATTTGATATTTAATTATACCTTGTACAACTCATCAATTTAAAACGTATTCAAATAAAGTAGCTTTGTTCCTCAATGTACCTATAATTTCTCTTCGAGATAGTTTCTAATAATATGTGAAATATATGAACACATTAAAATAATATTTCACACATTATATTAACGTCATTTTACATAAAATTCATATAACAGAATGATTAAAAAAAGCAAAAAATACATAATGCATAACAAGTACAAGTTACTAATTATTAATCAGTTTTATTTAATGAACTTTCACAAACTGTTAGACGAGCAAAAGGAAAATTCATTAGGAATCGTTGAAACTTGAAACGTGCAACTACCGAGTGCAAAGGGTTAATAAACGGAATTATGGTTATTAGAAAGAAGTTTGTAAAAATCAGTTTAAGTGCTCGATAGTTCTAGCGTCAACGATCTTTTCGAATCCCGCTATACATCTGTTGTAAGATATATATTGTGACTCGTGTATCGAGCTACGTTGACGCAACAAACTTTTTTTCTTCGAAGCACCGTAGTATAAAATTCCGAAATGTATCGGAACGTAGAGGTAGGACGGAATTCGCCGATATTTCTTTACTTTTTGCCCGGCTTTCCGGATCGCCGAAAAATGGGCGAATTCTATACGTCGACGGCGAACACGTGTGCGCGCCGCTCGAACGTGTGCCGAGAGAATGATCCGCGCCCGCGTGCTGGCAAATCAAATTGACCGATTCGTCGTTCAGCCGACGGTCGAATATTACACGGAGAAGTTTGGAGGGGTCCGCGAGAAAAACAAAATATCGAGAAATCGGATCGCCGCTGTACGTTTTTACGGAGTTCGCAAAACAATTTCCCGCACGAGACTCGCCGGAAAAACGTGTAACTTCCAGGGACAGGTGCGATTTTCGCCATTGACGAGACATGGTTCTTGAATTGTTCCTAATCAGTATTTAACACTATTCCTACCGCGAGCAGTCAAATGACTGTTTTTAAAATTTCGATTAGAATTTCCTATAGACAACGTAATTGAATCGCCTTTATACTTCACGACTTTTCCTGAAATGTATGTATAAAACATTTTTCAATATTCACGCCTTTTTTTATTGTTCATTTTCTGAGAAAAATTTGTAGTCTGTCTTAAATACCATGACCAGTCATTTGACCGGTAGAACGATTTATATCTTTTTGTAATAGTATTCCCTCAAAGACTCAATTCCGAAACTATAAAGTCGTTACAAACGAAAGGAAATGCAGTTGTGGCATGATTTTAGCCTCGTTGTGTCTTCGATTCTAAAGAGAAGGAAACTGTTACTCACTGGAATCAGCATCAGAACGAAGCTAATTATCACCACGATGTACCAGAAGTCGGTCAGCCACCTTTGGAAGCTTGCTAAGCTAGCGTCCGACAGTAGGAGTCTTCTTAAAGTTGCCAATGGTCCGCTGGGGTCCACCTGGAATCATCATCCGCATTAACGCTAAACCTACCAGACGGGTCGAAATGACCCATTCCTGATTTCTTCTTTTTGCAGTTATTAAAAGGATAACAGATGTTTCTCTGAGAAATTATCCAAGAGATTGATTTAACAATACGCAAATTGAATTGTAAATCGATTAACCTTTTGAAGACGAATGTCGTCATTTTACTGACATCAAGCTTTCATATTTCGAGTACGAAGTTGTGAACAAACAATTGATTTCTTCAAATAACAAGAGACCAGTGTTTAGTTTTCTTTTTCTCTGGCACTTAAGACTTCGATGTACAATTTAATTTCCCTTGCGAAATGTTTTCAATACTTCAAGGAATCCTTGTCCGTAAAGGGTTAAAGTCTCGATAGATCCATCCATGAAGTTGCTATAGAGGAATTTCAAAAAGTCAATTTAACTGTTCGGTAGGTTTAGTGTTAAAAAGTTTTCTAATTTCGGTATTAACCCTTTGCGGACGAAGATTCTTCGAAATGTACAAAACTTTCAAGAGATAAAGGTAAATTGTACAGCAATTGCTTAATTAATAGAAAAAGAGTCAAATATGAACATTTCGTGACTCTCGCTTACCATTTCGTTCGATATAACAAAATTACGAAGTGTTATATATAATATTAAATTTCGTATAATGCGTCAATATGTGAGACACTTATATAAAAAGCTTTGTCTCTTAATTTGTATGTTTTCTCGTTAGTTCTTTTCAAATAGTGTCTGTCTCATCGGAAAGTGACGAATATTTCAAGAAAAATTTCCAAGTGCAAAGGGTGAACGTCGATTCAACCTTTGACGTCGATAGTTGTGCATATTATAGTATAATCTAACTTAATTGCACAGTAATTATCGCAATAACTTAAAGTATGGGTGATACAAAGGAATGTTTCAGACAAAAGTTGTAAAATATAGAGCTAAACATATGGTGGTTAAATTTTTCTTACATTATGGGGATATTATGCAGTTTTTCCAATGACAATGGATACTTTACGCTTCGATTCAAACGTTGTGTAAACAGAAACGGAATTTATTCGTACAAAATCCTTATTTTTCAAATGAAAATCATTTTGTATAGCAAGGATTCTTTAGCAACACGTTAACTTTCAATTTTCATTAGGCGAATAGTCGAATTATGGGGTTTTGTCCACAAGCGGCCGCACTGTGAGCCGTAACGAAAGGGTTAAGAGGATTCTACTGGCGCTAGTACTTCGTTTCGAAAATTGAGAAGCTAAGAATCAACTTCTAAAAAGGTTTCTTAACCTGTTAACTGTGAAATTTAATTTAAGAAATCTTTGAAATGAAATAATAAAGTATACTCGTTTGACGCAGACTAAATGAACGTACAATATATTCTAATGAAAAGCTAAATCGAAAAGAAGAAAAATTACATGTTCATCTGAAAAACATAAACAATATATCGTTGAAAGAATCAGTATCATTTTGATTTTAAGATATATACTTATCAAACGCAGTTAACTGGTTAATACTTTACCGACCGGTACTGGTAAACAGCCGATTGATCTACCGATTGATAAAATGTTAAGATGAATTTTAAAGGAAATCCAACGACAAAATCCTCGTGAAAGTTTGCTATCGGAAGTTCGAGCTTCAGAGTCTCCGAATTCGTAAATAGCGACGGGACCAATGATTAAATTGATCGTGTTCAACCTGACCGTGATTCCGCTTGGCGAAGACGTCGATACGAATCGGAACGGATTGGACAGAATCTTACCTCTCGGCATCTTTGGAAGACGTCACAATAGCCATTGTAGTCGTTGCATGGTGTGCCTGGCTTCGACAGCATGTCAGGAATATCGTATGGCGCCGAGTTCCATGCGAACGATGATCTGTAAAGGAACGGTTCTCGTCTGACGTCTGGTTTATTTGATCTGTGTCACTACATTTCACTATCTCCCGGCAATGGTTCGTCATCATTTACGATATAATTGAAAATTGATTAACACGTTGGCTGCCATAAAATCACCAGCGTTTTATGTATCGCTTAATCTTTCTGTAGGAAAGATAGAGGAAAAATTATTAGTTATTGAGAATTACAATTCTTTCGTTACACTAGTATCTAGTTATTTATGCTATTCAATACTTTTATTCGATATTAGTTGTCTTATGAGTTATAATTATTTTCTTATAATTTGGAAGGTTCGGTTATTGATGACCATCGTGGCAGTCAACGTGTTAGGACTGTGATCTCTTCTTCGATTTCAGTTCAAACAACAGATTGTGTTCAGTATCGGTGAAAACTTTCCAATTTGAAACTTTTTAGATTGAAATATACATATTTTAGAGATTATATACACAAATTATTAACCATTCCGAGGAATCCTGTTATTAATTACAACTAATCCATCGATAATAGTAAATATCTTCCGAACATTATATCTGCAACATGGAAACACTTCGAACAAATACGATTAATTCAATTCATAAACGTTACATTTATATTATTCTCTTCGCTGAAACAATTAAATTATAATTCATATTCAATCAAAATTCCAATCAATTTCAAATCCCCACAGCTAATCGAATCGAACTAATTAATAAACACCAAAATCTCAAATTCCTATATTTAACCAACTCGTACTCTACCTTTAAATAACAACCAAACAATTCTTTTTAACACTAGGAACACGTACTCCTCTGTGGATTCACTAAAGAAACTGATTTAGTAATACTCAAACTGAATTATAAGTGAACTGAAATCTCAGTAGCTGCATTCTTAGAGTTCCTGTAGACAAATTTTGAACTTCTTAGAGTTCCCATAGACCAATTTCGAAATTCTTACAGTTCGTATAGACCAATTTCGAAATTCTTACAGTTCCCATAGACAAATTTTGAACTTCTTAGAGTTCCTGTAGACAAATTTCAAAATTCTTAGTTCCTATAGACCAATTTTGAACTTCTTAGAGTTCCTACAGACAAATTTCGAAATTCTTAGAGTTTCTATTGACAAATTTTGAACTTCTTAGAGTTCCTATGAACAAATTTCCAAATTCTTAGCGGTCCCATACACAAACTTCGAAATTCTTAGACTCTCCGCAGACAAACTTCGAAATTCTTAGCGTTCCCATACACAAACTTCGAAATTCTTAGACTCCGCAGACAAATTTCGAAATTCTCAGAGTTCCTACAGACAAACTTCGAAATTAGAGTTCCTACAGATGAAATTCGAAATTCTCAGAGTTCCTACAAATTTCGAAATGATTTGACTTCTCGGTAATTCTAATATAAATAAAAACTCCACGAGCATGGAGTCGCTGAAAACGCGATCGAAAGACTGCGCGTGGAAGGATCGCTCTCAGAACGTAGCGCGACTGAGGCAAAGTGGCCGCGATCGATCAAACGATCACGGTTTCGCGCGGTTATCGCGAGGTCTAATTTCTTCGCGGCGGTCGCGGGAGACACGCCGCTATTTCAGGCGCAGAAACTATTCCTGCGCGGCGCGGAGCGACTGACGCAGACATTCGCCGGCGAAACCGCGCGTCTACGATATATATATAACAACGAATCGGCTCTCTCAGTCTCACTCACAGGCATGGTTGATCCTCTCCCGGCAATTTACAGCACAGTTCGCAGCTCTTGGTCGGGGGATCCTCGGGGCCGGCGATGCACTGACAGGATTCCAGGCCATAAGCCAGGCAAATGCTGCCGGTGCATTCCTGGAAGCAATGCAAGAGCCCGATAAAGTGTCAGCCTACATGCATAAACCTCTAAATACGAGGTAATTTCCGTGCGGGGGACGCGCGAGGGTTCCGGGGCCCACCGAAGATAGATAAGCCACTGAGTCAAACGTTATTCTCTTAGCACCGCGGTTTCCAACCTGGAGGCGCGGACTATTGCCAGGAGACGCTACAATTTTTAATTAAAAATCCATGTTCATACGATAATACCTGGAAATAAGTAAACTTCATATCGGAACGTAACAGTACCGATTCAGGGAAGTAATGTTGATTTTATAATGAAGTTATTAATATTTAAACCATATTTGTATTATTATATCTATTATAGGGAGGCGCTAAAATTTTTAATTAGAAATCCATGTTCATACGATAATACCTGGAAATAAGTAAACTTCATATCGTTACGTAACATTACGAATTCAGTGAAGTAATGTTTATTTTATAATAAAGATATTTTTTAAAACGTGTCTATATTATTGTACCTTTGCACTCGAAGTTTCTAACTAGAAATATTTAAGACTTTTTGACGAGACAAAGACGATATTCTTTGAAACTAACTCAAAATCACAAGTACATTGAGGAACAAAGCTATGTTATTCCAATATTTCACGTATCGAGGCATTATACAAAGTTCAGCATTAATACTGGAACTACCAGATGTGACAAAACGAGCCATTCCTGACTCCTGTTACAATTATTGAAATCTGAATAAATACACAGTTAGAAGTTTTATAAAGAAACTTAGAGAAGTCAGTATAAGTGCTTGGTAGTTCTAATGTTAAATATCAGAGTCTACAGTTGTACTCTATCAGATCAAGTGGTGATTGAGTCAACTCTTGAGTGCAAAGAGTGGAAAGATAGGGAGGCGCGGATGAAGAATTTTTTCTAGATTTTTCCTAAATTTTCATTTTTTTTCGCGGCCTCGAACTGTTCCCAAGGCTCTAACTGCCAAGACAACGTTACAGTTCCTAAGGCAATACTGTGGTAGCGTCCAAAGCGATCATTTATTTCCTAAGGCGATACTGTCGGTCCCAAGGCAATAGTATAGTTCCCAAGGCAACACTCTAGTGTCCAAAGCAATGTTCAGGTGCAACGGAAACTGTTGCAGTATTCAAAGCGATACTTTAGTCACTGATGCTAGTTCTCAAAGCAACATTGTTGTGGCAGATACTGTAGTCTAGTAGTTCGAGAAGCGATACTATTGTTATTAACACTAGATCCACGGACGTTTATTCTACACTTTATTCTGTTGCTTCTAGAAAACTACGGGTTCGTTTATGTAGATCGCGGAAATTGGAGCTTCGAAGGTAGACTGTTACAATGTGTATCTGCATAATTGCACGAATCGGGATCGACTTAAATTGCTACTAAATTGTAGGATACGAGGAAGGGCAAGCGTGGTGGTAGGCTCAGAGGTTACTGAAACGGCATGCTACATTCAATTTATTGAGACTGAAGGTGTTAAAAGATGCCCTGAAAGTTTTACTTGAAATTATTTCTCAAGTTTAGTCGTATATTTCGAATTGACTTGTCGATTTCTACAATAACGCAAAACTTGAAATCCGATGATTTGACCGGTACGCTTAGTGTTAATGTCTTGGTTAGGTAAATTTTGTGTAAGGCATCAACACGTGAAATATACAAAACACTTTTGTCTCTTAATTTATGCAAGATGTTTTTTCACGTCAATTGCAAATTAGTTTGAGTGCAAAGCGTTAAATGAACGAAAGAAAATTCAGAACATGAAATTCGATGATTTGACCGGCACATTCAGTGTTAACCCCTTGCCATACAATGACGACTGAGACTCGCGATGAAGATTTCTAGACCAATTTAACAAGAATCAATGTTTTTCATTACCATTACAATTATTTTACTGGTATCAATGTATTATCTTCAACTGAAATTTTCCCTTCAAGTAGAATGGGCAAATTTTCTTGCATTTATAAGAGTCAACTCCAAATCGGTGTGGCGTCCTTTGTCGGAAGTCGATACAGAGCATTCAGAAAATTGGAACACACGTGTGGAAATGGTTTCGCAGAATTGTTCGCGAGCTCCTAAAGGGATCTTCGATCGCCAGGCATTCCAAGGTCGATCGTCAGTTTCCTTCTAATTATTAATTTCTATTTCTGTCATCACCCTCTTAGAACTAGAAAAATCTAACGATCGCCCTATGTAAGATTTCTCTTCATAAAAATAGAAAAGCGTGATTCAGTTTCTAAATAGAATCGAAAGAAGCGATCTCTCAAGCAAGTTTTTACAAAAGCCGGTACGACTGAAACGGTTAAAGATCGCGTTCCTGTCCGCAGTTTCATTCGCCCACCTGGAACATCTTGGTACCATCGACCGAAGCGTTCCAGACCCCGCGAAAGTAATTTTCGAAATTATGATACCTGCTCGCGGGCACCTAACCATGGAGCCGCGTATCGCCGGGAAACAGCGCGCGACGCTGGCCCAGCGAGCAGTTCGGTTCGTCTTGTATGCGAACGGCACGTCCCAATTCCCTCTTCAGCGTTTCCTCCCGTGTATTCAGGCCTTTCTCTTTCTTTATTGTCTTGCCGAACGTGAGAGCACCGCGGGAAAAAAGAGATCCAGTCGTGGGACATGAATGCGCACTTGCGTGCCGCTCGAGGAGGAACGGCCTCCGCCGGCGCCGTTCGTGCCGGTTAGCTGACACTTGGCTGCAGCGGAGCGATACGACGTTCCGTGCCATTTTTCTTTATGCATTTTTCACGCGCTGCTCTCCGGCACGGCACTTCGGGCATTGTATTAAGCGGTTAATGGACGGGGCCGCGCTGAACAGCTTATTTAATATCGAGAATTAAAATCCTCGAGGAATTACGGGGCCGCGAATCAATTTTTAAGCGTGGCATCAAACTCGAACCGGAGCAAATCTCCATAAAGCCGGGAATGATTTTCTTTATAGATTCCGGCGCGAACAACGTTTTACTTAGCGGATGATAAACGGTGTTATCCGAGGAGTCGTTTAGTATTGTCGATCAAAATCCTCAGGAGATCGTGTAACTAATTTTTAAAGACGCACCGAGGATTCGAGGCAGTTATTGTTTTAAAGAAGTCTCTTGGGGAAAAGTTGGACAGCAATTTCTTTTATGTATTCTACTAAACAGCTAATAAACATCGTTGTCTGAGAGTCTGCTCGATGGTGAGTATTAAAGTCTTCGGGAAGTTGCAAAGCGGAGCTGCTCGACGCAACAGCGGAGTAACGAGTTGAACAAATCCTCTACGAACGAGCGGAACAACAATCGACTCGGACGAGAACTGAATTATCTTCAGGATTTTATTGGCGCGCTGACCCCGATAGCTGTTGCGCTTCGTTTCCGCGGGGCGAGGGTATCGCGCCGCGCTCGAATCACAGGTCGGCTCGTCCAATTATCGGAGAAACAGGCTGTCACGATCTCACATAATTACACGCTGTCTTCGCAATGAAGGGAAGCTACGAACATCGAACAATGCAACATGGAGTCATCCGCCGTCGTAAAAAGCTCGACTCCTCGGAACCTCGCAATTCAACTTTAGAAGTTGAACATTCGAAGCTTCGAGGCTCAGCGTTAAATCCTCGCGAAGCCAATTTGGGCTTCCTAAGAAGACAATAAACTGTAGGATTCTTTAAAAAAGTTGATCTTTCTGATCAAGGGAGAAGATTCCCTAAAGAATCCTCCCTTAATCCTCTATAGACTCATGTGAATTTGAAGTCACGCATCAATATACCGGATTAAATTGATTTATTTAATTTCTTACCGCAAAATGACGAATGAAATTGACTAATTAACTTTAACTTTTATACACGCAGATTTAAACACTCAACATTAGTGTAATTTTAAACTTACAAAATATATCCGTTTTAATAAAATGATTAAGGCTATTGAATATATTCTCAATTTGTATTCATAGGTTAATATTTATTAATTTAATATTATTTTCGCAGATTGAATTTCACAGAAATTTCACGGATTGAAACGTTAACCTTTTACGGACGGATGTCGGCGTTTCGATAAGATGAAATGTTCGAATTTGGAAGACTAACTCGCGAGCAAATGATTTAATTGGTCGAATAGCAAGAGATCAGAGCGTGGTTTCCTTTTTTTCTATTAACCCTAATCGGATGTGACTTTGAGTCACATTTGAACTTTTTACTGTTCTTGATTATTTCATATCACATTTCTAAAAGTTTCTTTGGGCTTTTAAAATTTGAGCCCTATAAACAGAAACAATGACGTTTTAATCATTCCTTTTATTCTCATACGTGACTGAGAGTCAGATCGTGGTGTGATTTGTTATAAAAACACGTGGTACCATTAGGGTTAATTAAGCAATTAATAAGTAATTTAGTTTCATATGTTGAAGACTTTGTATGTTTCGAAGGGTTAAGAACTTCACCCTCTGCACTCGAGAGGTGACTCTCAGTTACCTTGATTTGACATAACAAAATTACAAAGTGCTGTATATAATACTTCGTTTTGTATAATGCATCAATATGTGAAATATTTATATAAAATAGCTTTGTTTCTTAATTTACGTATGTTTCTCATCAGTTCGTTTCAAATCGCCTATGTCTCATTGGAAAGTGTCGAATATTTCTAGTGACAAGCTTCTGAGTGCAAAGGGTTAAAAGTGTATTAAAATCCAGAGAGTATTGCTTATTACACATCTCCTACACAGTACACACATTGAAAATCCTACAATAACAATATGATATCTGAATTTTTCTATGTACAGTGACATAAGTTGACCTCACTGAAAATTGCCATCCGCACAATTCAATTTTCTGAAAATTAGCCAGTACGCGATGTGTTAATATGCACAACAAACGCCTCGAATCTTCGATCGTAAAACCTGCACCGTTCAACGCCTCAGCTTTTACAGCTCGAAGTGTGAGGCCCACGAGTTGAAAGCCTCAAGGCTTAAGCCGCGTTTACAGCTTCCGAGGCTGCGGGGCCGGGAGTCATTTATAAAACGCTACGAGTGATCTCTTCCGGTTTGCAGCTGCGAGCAGAAACATTCGATTACGGTCGGCCAAGCGGAAAACACGTTTCGGCCGCACACATGCAACAGTTCGAGGGTACGCGCCGCTGGGCCGGGGATCGATAGCGCGCCGACATGCCCGGCTTCTAATATGCAAGTACAATACCGGCGCCACGGAGACGAGGATAGTCTGCTGCCGGTCGTAATTTGCTTTCGCGTTTCCGCGTCGTCGCCGGACAAAGAGCGCCGGACGACCACGCTCTTACCTCGCCCATTTAATCTCCGCTGGTCCACGCGATCGAGAAGGTTCAACCGAACTTAACCCTTTCGGTGCGGAGAAGCCGGCCGCGGTTATACATTCGTGGTACGAGAAAGTTTTTGTCGTGCTAGGAGGCGATCTCTCTGAGGTCGTAATAGGAGATTCGGTTCGAGCGCCTGGCGCGATACGGGACTATTTTTAAGAAGTGCTTAACACTATTCCTACCGCGACCAGTCAAATGACTGTTTTTAAAATTTCGATTAGAATTTCCTATAGACAACGTAATTGAATCGCCTTTATACATCACGACTTTTCCTGAAATGTATGTATAAAACATTTTTCAATATTCACGCCTTTTTTTATTGTTTATTTTCTGAGAACAATTTGTAGTCTGTCTTACCTACCACGACCGGTCATTTGACCGGTAGAACGATTTATATCTTTTTGTAATAGTATTCTCTCAGAGACACAATTCCGAAACTATAAAGTCGTTACAAACGAAAGGCAATGCAGTTGTGGCATGATTTTAGTCAAAAAGTGCCTTTCAGGGACTGCTTTACGGTACTTCCAAGTATTTACAGTTCTCGCTCGCCTATCGGCCTCGGTAAAATTGGTAAAATCTAAATGTCGGAGATGGCCTTTACAGGTATTTTTCAATATCATAAATAATAATGGTTAATCGATAAATGCATGGATTTTATATAAAGAATCCACGGGAGAAGAAATTTCGAGGCGGGAATTTTTATTTCAATTGGCAGAAGAACTTGCCATTGAATATCAAAAAGAACTAGAGTTAGGCAAAGAAAATCAAGCAACACCCGTCACAAATACAAGTACAGGTTCACGCGAATGGAAACCATGCCAAATAAGATATTGCACAAACAATAAGACTACCAAAATCTGTCTAAAATGTAAAAAGTACGTGTGTGGGAAATGTACAATCGACAAACTTATTTGTAAAAAATGCGGAGAAAACGAATAAAATGTAAATTATATACTTCTAAATAAAAGAAACTATACTTGTATACTGTCAAATTGGCTATTATCTTCATTATATATTAAAAAATATAAGTTGTGCTGAAGACCAGTCATTTGACTGGTCGCGGTAGGAATAGGTATACGTGGAGTGTCGGTAGGAATGGTGTTTAAGCACGTGGCCCGATGGTGGACCATAAATTAAATGTCCCATCGCTGGCGAAAGCGAGGCTGCACTCAGTCACAGCCGCGTAGAATATATAATAGATCTTGTATTTTAAACCGTGTCACAATAAACATACTTTTTATTTTCGATAGTAATTTTACTGTTTCTGCCCACTGCACCTTTGGTATAAACCTTCAAATTACTACAGTTTTCCACAAGAGTGGTTGCACTGTACGGCAGCGTACGCTGCGAAAACGTGTTTTGCATTCATAGAAGTCTATGATTGACACTAAACTTTTCATTCGGACCGCGACAGTCATTGGCGACTGACGCGGCATTTAACGTGTTTCAAAAACATGTCTAAACTATTTATACTGCTTTGTCATAACCTAAACCAATCCCCGGCCGAAAAACGATTTCGAAGGAATCTTATCTCGCGAATCAGACGGAAAGGCAGACGAAACAGGCTCGGCGCTTAACGTTTTAAAATCATATCTATTGTCGTATTAATAGAATTTAAATGTTTTATTTTTAAAAAAACATAGGAATAGATAATTGAATAAAATACAAATAAATAGAAACGATATAGCCCGCAGTGTACAGGTTTTTTCTCTTCTCAGGTCAGCGCAACTCTCTCCAAAATCTCTCGCCATCCGCACTTAAAAATCATTCTCTCCCCCAGAAGCATTCTTCTTACTCACACTTCCAACAAATTGTTCAACACACCGTACTCTCACCACCGCGCGCTCATCATCCTTGCTGACGCATCCCTCGGGAAAACACAACAATCCTTGGGCCTGCTCTCCATGAGTTCCTTCCTCTTTTATGGCCCTCAGAACACTCGCTGTCCCACTGTCTTAAAACTACGATACTACACTAATTCTTCACAGTACATTAATTAAAGTAAATGGCATTGATATAAATAATATGTTTCAATTGCACAAAATTAAAACAAATAACGGCTGGAGTACCCAGAGAACGTTCCGTAGATGCCGCCAATAGGCGACGGTAGTACCGAAAGAGTTAATTCTCCCTCGCCCGTCGCGAAAGAAACGTCGGTTCCCTTTTATTTTTCAACAGTCCGCGGTGCCGAGCACTGCATAGTCGATGATCAAGATTTCCACTCGAGGATTTAATCGGATCTTGTTATCGAAGATTTTTAATCCTAGAGATTCCTTCGATGTTTCTTTTAACCAGTTAAGTGCGTTCGACGAGTATACACGTCATCTTGAAATTCAAAATGCTACTAAGTTTTTCAACGATGAGTTATTTATTTCTTCAGATAAACATGTAATTCTTCTTCATTTTGCTTTAATTTTTCATTAACACATATCATAGGTGCATATCTCCTGCGTTTGACAAGTATACGATTCATTGTTTAACTTTATTGCCCGTACAATTAGAGATTTTTCAAACAAGATTCCACAGTTAACAGATTAAGCAACTTCTTTGACGCAGACGTGCTTCCATCGAGCAGCCTCTGGGATTTTTGTTTGAGGATTCGAATGCTTGTGTGTTTCGTGTAGGACTGTATTAACACTGGAACTACCGGATGGGTCAAAATGACGCATTGATTTCATTTTTTCTAGTTATTCAACAGATAAATGTTTCTCTGAAAAGGCACTGGAGAAACTGGTGTAGCAATATACAAACTGAAGTGCAAACCAACTGAAGTCCCTATAATCGCACTGTTGAGGTAACAAAATAATTTCAATAAGACAATTTAACAAGTTGAATGCCGCACGAGCAAAATAGGCAAATCAAAGAAATATAAAATTAAATCATTTGATTGAATTACATTATTATTACATGTTCATAGTTCATCTAATCATAGTTTAACTCAGTGAACCATAATAATCCGATTCGGCATTCAACGTGTTAACTGCTCGGTAGTTCTAGTGTTAATCTTCGGTGTTTCATGGACACTTCCTGATTCGATAGATTCTTAACTACGATTGCGACAAGATATAAATTATAAGCTCATAAAGACGAACAAAGTGTTTCATTCAAAGATCCAGAAGATACGAGAATTCATTTTGTTTCTTAGGCTGAAGATATCGCTTAATTTCCCTTTCAGTAGAATCTGATCGTATCAGAAGGGATGTCACTCCGTGTTATCCTCCTGTATCTGCAAACAGCGTCACGAAAAGTTCACTCGAACCCTCGTTTGTATTCCCGCCGCGGTTTAGCCCCCGACTCGATCGAGCGTCTCAGAGTTTCCCTGACGGATGAATATGCTTCCGCGGGCTGAAGGGTGTTTCATTCTGCCTACGCGTTCGCCGCGGAGCGGAGGCTTAAATCTAACCTCTGAGACCCGCGGCAGGGAAAGAAGACGGCGAGAGACGAGGAGCGCGAGCGTACGAAAACGCCGCGCGTACATTTCGAGATCGCTCCCCGGGGTTTCCTCACTGAACCGATCGTAAGCTGGAGGGGAGCTTCGATCGTTTCTTTCCCGGATTTTCCTTTACCCCGCGATCGACGACTAATGGATATTTGAACGCGTAACCGATCACAGAAGCCGCGAACCGGAATCTCTTCTCCGAACATCGTTGCCTGTGGTCGTTGAAAACGCGGACAAAATTTCGGACAGTTCAATTACGCGGGATAAACAAAGACGAGAGGGTGCCGTTAGCTCTGTAACGTTGATCCCGTTTATATTCCGGGTATTACGTTGCCTACGACCGTAAGGAAGGCGAACAGGGTCCAATGAATAAGAAACTAACCAGCCCAAGGCTGGACGGTGCGGAGTAAATCGTAAATTCGCGCGGGCAATTCCGGCGAGCTATCGTCAGCTACAACGATTTCATAAATTCGTTCATAAGCTTGATGAAACGGGACTTAGAACAGTTCCGGGAACGCGTTGTTCTTCATTTCGCTTGCAGGTAAATCTTTATTAGAGCGGCTGCCTCTCCCCGGAGGTGTTCCGCGATGAAAGTATAAAAAGGAGAAAGGCGGGACGCGGGGAATCACCGTGAAAGGCTGAAGTAATTCGGTGTAATCTGGCTCGAGTTTCGTGCGCCTACGGGCACGCCCTAGCGGTCTTCGACGATAAGGACATCAACGATCATAAAGATCTGCACGCCGCAAGTTTTCCCAATGCACGCGGAATCTGACAGGCGAATGGATTGACCACTTTCGTAAACTTCCGCTCGTACATCAACGGCTCGCGTGAAAAGGTGGTCCCGAAGAGACGCGGTGGAACTTTGCCCCGGAGCGGGGACGAAGGAGGAGGGGGATGGGGGTGGAGAGGATAGAAAGAGAGACATGTGTACACTCACCCCCATGTAGCAGACGAACTCATTGTTGCATATGGTCTTGTTAGGTTTGCTGATGGATGGCGGACACTGGGGACCACGGCCGTCACAAAAGCTCGCATCTCTGCATCCGTTGTCGTCCCTGCACTTATCGCCGTTGCGCAGAGTACAGCCCGACGTGCAGCATGGGCCCTGAAACAGGAGGGTGGACACAACAGTGTCTATATATAATACAATCAACGGTACATATCGCTGAAGACCTCGACAGTTAATTATTTTATTTAATTTATCGTCGCCAATTACCGTGGACGGTTGCTGAAACGCAGAACGATATAACTATTGTACTTTCCGGTCCACTGTGCACGACGG